GGAGTACTGGCTCTTGTTGCCAAATAAAGTTAATATAATATATACTCTACTTTTTGCATATTTATCGGATATTCTTATGATCCGATCTGAAGCCTGAATGGTTTCACCTTCCTGTGAGCCCCCTGAATCAACTCAACCCGGAGTGGCTGTGGTAGACAGTCATACTGTTGGACTGACCTGGTCTTTGAATAATGATGATTTTCCCATAATGGGGACAGTGGTCGACGTTTATGCAGCAGGAGCTAGGTTGTCCATCTATACACCCATGTTTGACAGGTGGATTGACCTGGTCTTTGAATAATGAAGATTTACCCTTAATGAGGACAGTGGTTGACGTTCATGCAGCAGGAGCTAGGTTGTCCATCTATACACCCATGTTTGACAGGTGGATTGACCTGGTCTTTGAATAATGATGATTTTCCCATAATGAGGACGGTGGTCGACATTCATGCAGCAGGAGCTAGGTTGTCCATCTATACACCCATGTTTGACAGGTGGATTGACCTGGTCTTTGAATAATGATGATTTTCCCTTAATCAGGACGGTTGTCGACAATCATGCTGTAGGAACTAGGTTGTCCATCTATACACCCATGTTTGACAGGTGGACTGACCTGGTCTTTGAATAATGAAGATTTACCCTTAATGAGGACAGTGGTTGACGTTCAGGCAGCAGGAGCTAGGTTGTCCATCTATACACCCATGTTTGACAGGTGGATTGACCTGGTCTTTGAATAATGATGATTTTCCCATAATGAGGACGGTGGTTGACGTTCATGCAGCAGGAGCTAGGCTGTCCATCTATACACCCATGTTTGACAGGTGGATTGACCTGGTCTTTAAACAATGAAGATTTACCCTTAATGAGGACGGCGGTTGACGTTCATGCAGCAGGAGTTTACCGTTGAGCTGCCAATAATGTGGTGAACAAAGGCTTCGCTTCGCCTTCCCTTTCTGTGACAAATGAAAGCAAGCAACCTTCTTCTCATTTTCCGTGATTTCCTCCACTCAGAACAAACTTTCCAGCTGTCTAAAATGACTGTCAATATCACTAGAATCACACTCTCCCCACTTGGATACTCCGTTAGTTCAGCACTCCGTTAGTTCAGCACTCGGTTAGTTCAGCACTGCCACCAGTGAAAGAAGACTCAAGACACCAGTCAACTCAAACAATGTTTTCTTGTTCAGATCAAAACAATAACTGACAACACAACTTCCTATATTGCTATATGACGTCATCACAACACTCATACAATCATTCCAAACTACGTAGCTGTTAATGCGTTCTATGTATAGAAATACTTCCAAGTTTAGAGTTACCTCCTTTACATCATTATATTCACACAGCAGCAACAGTGGTCAAGCTTCCAAGAGGGCTAGGCAGGGAATCAGGGATAAAGAGCGATCCTCCCATGAAAGCTGGTTTCGATGTGATGAAATGTGTGAGAGAGCGATCCTTCTGTAAATCAATTGGCCTCAGCTTAATTTCTTTATCAGCTTCCAATGTCAGTTTTTCTTTTTCAGCTTCAATTTGTATTTGTTTAATCTGAAATTCCCTCTTTTTTTCTGCCCTTTCTCTCCTCTTTTTCTTTCTCTGCTTCCAATCTCAATTTTTCTTTTTTAAATTCTAATTTTTTTCAAAGCCAAAACATCAGGTTTTTTCAATAAAAGCCGAAGCATCATCATCCAAAATGTCTCTCTCAACTAGGTAAGTGATCAAAATTTTCTTGACATCGGCCTTAAACGTACCCGATTTGATGTCAAGTTTGTATGTTTGGCCAATTAAACCAGTTCAGACCTTTTTAGCAAAGAGATTTGTTTCGTTGAAGGTTGGCTAAAAAATTCCTCTAGAAATCTGTATGTGGAATCAACAAACAACCAACAAATGGTATACAATCAACAAATGTATTACAAAATTGACTAGGTAAAATTAACAAATCAACACAAATTACTGCACAGCAATTACAATGGCAGTATACAATCAAGTGGAAGTACAATATTAAGTGGCAAAAAATATTATGATAGTAGTGGTCAGTATCAAATACAAAAGTACAGTGGTGATAACAATATATATTCACCCAGCGGCGGCGGTGGACAAGCTTCCGAGGTGGGCCTGGGCAGGGAATACGTGTTGTGGCAGACGCTGTGTGGAGAGGAGTATCAAATATATGCTGGTATTAAAGGGAGATGTGTCACAGCAAGTCCATTTCTGGTGTCCTTCATGGTCATATTGCTGGAAGATTGCAAAAAGTGGCGTAAAACCAAACTCACTCACTCACTAATGGGAGGTGAGTTATTTACTGATGTGGAAGTGAATGACTGTCACGGGAGATCGTGTGATTAGGAAAGGTGTCAACCGGGTAGTTTCATATTGCAACTGGTATCCCTAATTTCATTTAGCTAAATATGGCTACATGTTCATAAATGTCCACAAGATGATATATGATTTTGATACAAAACTCGAACAATTATGAGTAAAACTTACTGTCACTACAAAAAAAGCATGCAGACATTGGAATGAGATGCCCCCACACCTGTACCCACACTGCACCACGCCCTGCTGGATATAGCCAATGAGAGCTTCATTCTCACAAAAATGTCTGTTTGGAATATAGCTTTCCCTCCACAGCTTCTCCTTCCTGCACTGTTGAATTATAGTTTGACGTCATGCCCAAGAAAAGTAAGAAAGAACCCTGTTGTATTTGAGATGTCAGTTCTGGCAGCAGTTCTGACCATCATGCGATATATTTGACTGAGACAAGATAGTACTTGAGTTAGCAGACAAAGAAAGTTGTTTGGACGATGTGATCTGCATAATTATAATTATTAATTGCTGAGTTAGAAATATTTGTAATATGTAATTAATGTCCGATCTTATGAAATGTAGAATTTGAACAAATTTCCTGATATTCTCAACGTCAGTTTTGCTGATGTGACAAGATTTGTTTAAAAGACGTGTAAATTAAACATTTATGACTTACCATGCTTACTTGTTGTTTTATTTGTTCTTCAACTTTTCTTTTTTGGAAAGGGGACCACCTTTGTGGTCTAGTGGTAGAGCGTCCACCCGGAGAGCCAAAGGTTCGGGGTTCAATCCCCAACTGCGTCATACCAAATGACGTTAAAAGATCGTACTTGTTGTTACCCTGTCTGGCGATCTGCATTAAGGGGCTTAAGCAAGGACGAGTCAGTATACTGTGTCTGAGTGGGGTATTCATGTTAACCTGCGGCATGGTATCTCAGTGGGCTAGCACTATAAAATCATCAGTCCGGACTATAACAAGCAGACAGACACACACACGTCACTATATAAGTGGAGAAATCTTGGATGCAATCAAATTCAGTGGCTTGGATGCAATAGTTTCGGTCATGTGACAGTCTGTCCCTCCGAGATGCGCAGACAGGCCCCTTGGCACAATCTCTGTAGCTCCATCCCTCGATGCTGTATCGGGAGTTACTGTACAGGTATCTTCAAGTGAAAAACACTGCTACCAGGCTGCAATTCCCCAAACATCCGAATAGGTCTTCAGCAACCCACGTTGGCCGTAAAAGGCGACTAACGGGATCGGGTGGTCAGGCTTGCTGACCTGGTTGAAGCATGTCATTGATCCCAATTGCTTGGATCGATCCTCATGATGTCAATCACTGGATTGTCTGGTCCAGACTCGATTATTTACAGACCGACGTCATATGGAATATGGAATATTGCCGAGTGCGGCGTTAAACAACCAACCAAACATCCGAGGTGGTCGTCCATCCATCCCAACACACAACATCACAACAAATTTATAAAATAATTTATTTTAGATATTGTTTAAATGCATACTTGCGGTAACAATGACGGGTTTTTGAGTCTGATATTCTAGTATAACAACATAAAAACGTACAACATTGTAAATGGAACAAGCTAAAACCAGGAGATGGTTACCATAGAAACACAGTTTACCAGCTGCAAGCAATGTAATGAAGGTTGACCAGGAGTAGACACACCAGTGACAGCTAGTGACAGGCTCAAACCCAGACAACACTGGCCGCTGAGTGACCGTACTGAGGTCATGCCGGGTATTTTAGTTTCACAGCCTATTGGCGCTGACAAGCCAAGGATGATAGTCAGGGTGAATGGTGGGATTCAAACCCTGGCACACGACTGTCAGCAGATAGCATAGTTCTCACCTATACCCAGACAGGTGGAAGTTTGAAGAGAAAGCTTGACCTGAAAATATGACACTGTTTTTCAATTGGTGTACAGAACTATTCTTACCCCCCACAGGGGAACACTGAAATTAACGAACATCAGCTTCAGGGCTAACTGGTAGATGCTCAGTCTGTGTCTCAACAAACCAGTAGTGAACCCTAACAAATACAAGTCCCGTGATAGGATTCAAACCATGGACCTTCTGATCCAAGGTTGGGTACCTAGTCCTCAAGACCAAAGAGGTTAACTGCTTCAGCAAGCAGACACAATACGGATGCCATCTGTGGGATGACTCCTCATCCTACTACACACAGGAAGTGATTGTGCTTTTTATTGGCTCAATACTGAACACTATTGTTTCAATATAAGCAACAAGCACACTACCCCTGGACTTACAGCAGTATGGGATACAGGAGAACCTACAGATACAACTGTGTAGCACCGAGTGAAATGATGGTCAGAATGTAGGTGGAGCCAGCTAAAATATAAACACATTTGACAAAATATTCAACAGTTGGAACTTGCAGGACAGTTGTAGATCCTGTCCCAGTAAACATCACCATCTTTCTCCTTGAAACATCATCTCTCTGACAAACTCGACCCATGGCGAACTTAGAACCACCCTTTTTCACTATTTTGCTAAAAAATCAACCTAAGGAGTGAGTGGGTTGGGTTTAACGCCGCTTTTAACAGTATTCCAGTTATATCGCGGCGTGTCAGCTTAATGTGGGAGGAAAGCCCGAAGTGATGCAGGTCTCAGATGTTCACCACTTCGGTGAAACCAACGAGCTCGTGTATGGTGCTGACAAACCTAGAAACATAATGGGGGCAAACCGGAATTCGAACCCACAATCATAGGTTTCTGGCGTGCCCAAGGGACGCAACTCTGCACAGCGAATCGCGGCAAATAGACAACTGGGCCACCCATGCCTCCTCAACCTGAGGAAACATTAACTCAGTTCTGTCTCCAATGACCGACTCATGGCAGTAAAAGAGTGTTAGGGAATTTGGTTTATTGCTGCTTTGAGCAGTATGTCAGTAACATCACGGTGTCGGCTTGATGTGGGAGGGGAGGAAGGTCTCAGATGTTTACCACTTTGTTAAAACCCACGAACATGGCATGGTGCTGACAAACTTAGAAACATCTGGGATTAGGTCTGGCATTCGAACCAACAATCGCAGGTTCCTGGTACACCTAAGGGATATAACTCTTCACAGAGAATTGTGGCACCTTGGCTAGGGCCATCTGTGTTCCTGTTGTGGTAGTGAAAAATAAAAATGAAAAACCTTCTCTTTGGAATAAAAGCAATTTGAGAATATGATAACAAAACATGATTATAAACAATATCAGACATTCAACTAATATATACATGTGATAACTGATTTATACAATACATGAGAAGGACATCCAAGATTCAGCAGCTGACAAAGATGTTATTATATCACAACGCACACATTGTTCCTCGACAGAACCTGACAACCATTTCAGTTTCAAAGACAAATTCTGTTTTCAGGACATTAAAAGAAATAACAAATTTCTGTTTCCTCAACTCTCGGATTCTGTCGCCTAATACCACATTGTTTCAACTCAGAATCTTCTGAATTCCAAAACAGCTGTTAACATTATCTCTGTACATGAACAAATCTGAACAAGTTAGACTACATTTTGTGCATGTGTATTGCACAACAGATGTTGAACTTTGAGGGCTATGTTAGGATCCAGTTCTGCTACACGTCCAAGCAGAGAACATCACAACTCTGCAAACGCAGGGGCAAGAATGTTCTGAAGACGCACGGGTAACCTAACTAATGGCTGCAGACATACAGGTCACTTTACTACTGGTTGTAGTGAGTGAGTGAGAGTATGGTTTTACGCCGCTTTCAGGAATATTCCAGAATTATCACAGCAGGGGACACCAGAAATGTAAGAGTATGGTTAACAATGTTTTGGCATTATTTCCACAATGTCATGGCAGAAGACTCCCATAATGAGTTTCACAGACTGCAACCATTTCTTTAACCAAAGACAGATCTTGTGTTGTGGCACACTTCAACCACGAGGCTTCCTACATCCCCATTGCAAGATAGACCGTCATCCCCTACACACAGTGCTCCGCTAGCATCTGCTGGCTCCAGACACTGGGTCCTTGTCCAGCACACCGTTTGTCTCCCTTGGAGAGGACGGCGGGATGCATGCTGGGACTCCAGTGATGCTGAGAGTGGATCCAGCACCAAACTTCATGGGGATGTAGCCGTCGATGTTGGCACCAAGAACACATGGGTCACCATCTGACAACAGAGCAGGATAACAACACTATACATACCAGTAGGACATTAACAACAGGGCTAGCATGGGGCTAGCATGTTTTATATGTGTTGATTATGAATAAAACAGCGTTGATGGAAGGTCCAAATAATTAATTTAATTTTAACTTTACTCCTGACCTTATTTGACCCTTGATAACATGAAGGCAGGTCAACTGATAGTTGATATTTGTTGATATTTGTCGATGTGTTTTGTGACAGTGACATATAAAAGTGAGGGACACATACAAAATCATGTGTCTACCTCTTCCACTATTGCAGAAAACTGAGTGAGTGAGTGAGTATGGTTTTACGCCGCTTTTAGCAATATTCCAGCAATATCACGGCGGGGGACACCACAAATGGGCTTCACACATTGTACCCATGTCGGGAATCAAACCCGGGTCTTCGGCGTGACGAGCGAACGCTTTAACCACTAGGCTACCCAACCGCCCGCAGAAAACTGATCCCATGCCTGGAAGGGAGTTGAGGTGAAATGGGGCTTAACGTCGCATCCAAGAATATAGCACTTATATAGCAACGTGCATGCACGTGTGTGTGTGGCTCCTTGTACTGAGATACCATGCCGCAGTTTAACATGAATACCGCACACAGACACAGTACACTGACTCAGAGACAACCAGTCCTTGTTTTTGTCCCTTACTGCTGAGCGCCAGGCAGGTTAACAACAAGTATCATCTTTTAACGTCTTTCGGTATGACGAGGACAGGGATCGAACCCCAGACCTTCCGCACTCTGGGCAGATGCTCTACCACTAGACCACGGAGGCGGTCAATGGCTGTAAGTAACATGTTTGGTGACAAAAACAATATGTCTCCCCTCCCTTTGGGGAGGGAGAGGAAGACGTAATGGGGGAAACATTAAAACAACCAAACTGATCCCAGCCATGTGATGTGTGTGATGGCTGGCAGTGACAAGTCTGCCGTACTCACCCATGATCAGCTCCACGGTGGCCAGACCGAACGCTTGTTTGACAGGGTCCAGCTGCAGTCTGCCCGAGTCCAACAGGAACGACCTTGTCAGCGTGTGACCATCAGACGTCTCGTAGATAACCTTCACCTTCTCTGAGAGACACAAGAACAGAGTACAGTTTCACAAACATCAAAACAAGGCAATAACAAATCTATGAAACCTACTTCAATGATTTGAGGACACTGACACTAAGTGCTTTCATCAACCCGACAAAAACGGAATGTAAACTTGAAATGTTTCCTTACTCTAAACTATCAAACAGAAACATTCTAGACATCATAGATATGCTCAATTTGTTTGAAGGGAGTCGGAGCTAATGTATCTTTGAACAGTATTTGAGCAACATGACAGAGTGTCAGCTTAATGTTGGAGGAGAGCCAACAGTGATGTAAAAGGCGGACTTTGAACAACATTTGAAAAAGCAAAGATCAGGATATCACAAGGATCACTTGATGAGAACCATGATTAGCGGAACCTGACTCAGCCAAGGGAGGTAACTCTCCACAGTTACTTGTGGTACTTTTAATCACTTGGCATCCAGCACCCCTTGGCTACAAACTTGCACAACTGATTTCGAAATGAAAGACGAAGGACTCCCAAGTAGGAACTATTTACAGAACGAAACTTACCTGGTCTTTCGGGACTCTGGTACTTGGTTGGGAATATACACGATGTATCTTCGACAGCTCTAGAACAGATGGGAGGGACATTAAATACATCCCCCATCACCTCGACATCAGCTTCACACTCAGGATATATATAACACTTTACACATTCAGATAACATCTTTAGAAATTAGTGGTAGCTACTCAGGATATATATAACACTTTACACATTCAGATAACATCTTTAGATATTAGTGGTAGCTACTCAAACAGTCCATGTGTGTTTGGTAGGGTAGCCTAGTAGTTATAGTGAGTGAGTGAGTTTGGTTTACCACCACTTTTAACAATATTTCAGTTATATCACGGCATGTCAGCTTAATGTGGGAGGGAAGCCAGAAGTGATGCAGGTCTCAGATGTTAACCACTTTGAAACCGACGAGCACAGGTATGGTGCTGACAAACCTAGAAACATAATCGGGACGAACTGGGATTCGAACCCACAATCACAGGGGGTCTGGCGTAGCCAAGGGACGTAACTCTGCACAGTGAACTGCGGCGCCTTAGATGACTGGGCCACCTGTGCCCCCTAGTGGTGGTGTTGATTTATCTCACCAAAGACTGAGTTCTGTTACCTTTTGAGTCAAATGTGTCCCCCACATGCTTAAAGTTGAACAAACCCATGTACAGTAAACTACTGTTATATCCAACCCATGTACAGTAAACTACTGTTATATCCAACCCATGTACAGTAAACTACTGTTATATCCAACCCATGTACAGTAAACTACTGTTATATCCAACCCATGTACAGTAAACTACTGTTATATCCAACCCATGTACAGTAAACTACTGTTATATCCAACCCATGTACAGTAAACTACTGTTATATCCAACCCATGTACAGTAAACTACTGTTATATCCAACCCAAAGGGACCCGAATTGTAGTTTGTTAAAACCATAGTTTGTTATAAGCAAATAAACAGCAAATGGCCGGGACCAAAAAATATATTTGTTATATCCGTCAGATCGTCATAAGAGTGTTTGTTATAAACGTAGTTTACAGTACCAAGTTAGAGATCCATACTTACTGGGATAACACATCGATTTTCTTCTGCAATGCAGCAATCTGATCTTTCTGAAAGACACAAGTAATAAACAAATGATATTAATAATACCATGGGGAAAACACGTTTTCCAGTTCCTTGTTTATACTAGCACACCTGCAGGTGCCATATCAGTTTCAACACTAAATAAGTTAAAACACACTCAATGTTGCATCGGCATTATTCCAGCCATACAGCAAGGAAAAGTTTAAAACATGATCTTATTTATCTTATGCGAGTGCTCTCTAACGGTTTACCCCCCTGGGGATTCGGGGATCAAATTGGTCCCCATGTGTGTCGTATGGGGCGTCTACATGGACCAGGTGACTTCGTTGATTATGTGTCATCGTACCACAAAGCGTGGGAGATTGCTTGTACCAGCAATCACTGAACTGTCAACTGAAAAATGATGAAGTTGCATCTTCACCAAACAAACAGTACTTGTGGATAACCTGCTGCATTAGTCCTTCAGGAATGTGTCATCAAGACTGACGTGAATCCTCACCTCTAACTCCCCACCTCTTATCAGTGCTTTACAAACAATTTTTCACAATATTCAATCTTCATACTGATATATATCAGTCAATCCCTAATTGTTTCACACTCCCAAGTTACAACCCTAACCTTAACCAATTGTAGTTTTAGTTTTATTTTATTATCAACACTGAAACCTGATTAACCCAGACAGTTTCATAGTGCTAGCCCACTGAGGTCACATGTTGCACTTTAACTTGGACACCCCACACAGACACCGTATATTACAACCCAACAGTGCTTGTTTTAGCCCCTTAATGCCTAAAGCCCGACAGGGTAACATCAAGTACCATCTCTTAATGTCTATTGCCAGACAGGGCAACATCAAGTACCATCTCTTAATGTCTATTGCCAGACAGGGTAACATCAAGTACCATCTCTTAATGTCTATTGCCAGACAGGGCAACATCAAGTACCATCTCTTAATGTCTATTGCCAGACAGGGTAACATCAAGTACCATCTCTTAATGTCTATTGCCAGACAGGGTAACATCAAGTACCACCTCTTAATGTCTATTGCCAGACAGGGCAACATCAAGTACCACCTCTTAATGTCTATTGCCAGACAGGGTAACATCAAGTACCATCTCTTAATGTCTATTGCCAGACAGGGCAACATCAAGTACCATCTCTTAATGTCTATTGCCAGACAGGGTAACATCAAGTACCATCTCTTAATGTCTATTGCCAGACAGGGTAACATCAAGTACCATCTCTTAATGTCTATTGCCAGACAGGGTAACATCAAGTACCATCTCTTAATGTCTATTGCCAGACAGGGTAACATCAAGTACCATCTCTTAATGTCTATTGCCAGACAGGGTAACATCAAGTAACATCTCTTAATGTCTATTGCCAGACAGGGTAACATCAAGTACCATCTCTTAATGTCTATTGCCAGACAGGGCAACATCAAGTACCATCTCTTAATGTCAATTGGTATGACATGGGGATCAAACAACCGATCTTCTGCTCTCCTGGCAGACGCTCTAACCACCACACAAAAGAGTTAGTCTACCAAATGATGGATCTGGGGCAATATCCTTTGTAAACATTGAGCTTCCTAAGGTATACAGCAGGGTTTCCAAGCTCGATTCCCTTCAGCTTTATCAGTGGAAACAATAAGACTTCGACTTAGTCTTGGATACTGACCTGTGACCTGACAAGCATTGCCAGCTGGTCACAACCGGTTTCGTCTTGGCTGTCTACACTGGCAGAGTTGCCAGGATCGGAGAGGGAGTCCTCCATCACACAGCCATAATCCCTCTCCTCTCTCGTCACACAGCCATAATCCCTCTCCTCTCTCGTCACACAACTCAGATCACTTGGCAAATCCAGCTCAATGTTCGTGGTCACACTCCGACACCCATTCACTCGGCCCCCATTGTCCACAGAATCAAAGAACTTATCCACATGGGAATTCTGGAACTTAGGAGTCTGACTTGAAAATTGCACAGTTTCCGTTTCCAGATTTTCTGTCTTTCCATTAGCACCAAGGTCGACTACAAGTCTATGGGTGTCCCCCCCATCTCTGGAAGACTGGGGGGGAGAGGGGACTGACATCTTGACATTACTAGCATAAGGAACATCCTCTGAAGGGGAGGTAACTCTGGACTTGGAAGGAGTCCTGGTAGGGAGGTTGGAGCCACTCAGACTCTTGATCTTCTGTTCTTGTTGTTTGGTGTCAGACGTCAAGTTGTTGGGCATCACAGAGTAACTATTACGAAGGTGAGATTTATCTGAAATTTCAAAGAGTTATGCAGCTTTAACAGACTGATAGGGAACAAACTCAAAGAGAAGCAGGTTATGCAAACTTTGGCCATGTGATTCAAGCAGACAGATATCATTTTGTTTGTTTGTTCGTTTGTTGTTTAACGCCGCACTCAGCAATATTCCAGATATATGACGGCGATCTGTCAAGTCTGGACCAGACAATCCAGTGATTGACATCATGAGCATTGATCCACACAATTGCGATCAGATGACATGCATCAACCAAGTCAGCGAGCCCGAAAACCTGATCCTGTCAGTCACCTCTTACGACAAACATAGTCGCCTTTTACGGCATGCATGGGTTGCTGCAGACAGAAATATTGGAATCAACTTCTGGAGATGATGTCAATAAACAACTTTATAAGACTGATATGCTACAGCAGTTACCATGACAACTACAGCAACACAATTTCTTACCTATTTTGATTGGGAAGTATCTGATGAGTAGTGTAAACCGTGCTTCATTAGTGGATGAAGGAAAAGCTGAATCAGCAATATCTCCCTCGCCAACCATCACCAGGACTCCAGAGTTTGTCTGGGCAAAGATGGGGGGCAATCTGCAGGATCCCTTGGGCCGCTGATGTTTCTCAAGTTGCTGAAACATTGATGAATCAGTGACAGGTCTGGGAGAAGATGTTGGGAAGCCATTCTGACGTGACCCGTCAACACTATGCTAGCTGAAGGGTGAGTGAGTGAATTTTGTTTAACGCCGCTTTTAGTACTATTCAAGCAATATCACGGCGGGGGACACCATGAGCTTTACACATTGTACCAAATCGAGGAATCAAACCCAGACCTTTTGCGTGAGGAGTGAACGCTTTAACCACTAAGCTAACCCACCACCTCTGCTAGCTGAAGAGTACACTAGGATGAGTAAGGCTGTTGAGGATGAGGAAAAAACAGAATACTCACAATATCCGACACTTTGTGTAACTCTTCACCCAGGAAGGTGAAGATCTGTAAGAGACTCTGGTTGTTGCTACCAACAATGATGGAGTTGGTCCTGTGCTGTGTGAAAATATCAAAGAAATAAATACAGAGAACACATGCAGCATGGAGGAACAGTAGAACACTGAGAGAATTCCCAGCACTTCCGTCAACTGATTGTTTGTTGTTTAACGCTGCAACTAGCACCATTCCAGCTATATGACGGAGGTCTGTAAATAATCTGGACCAGACAAACCAGTGATTGATATTGTGAACAATGATCCACTCCATTGGGGTATGATGACATGTTACCATCACCAACACCAAACCTGACCACCTGATCCATTGGTCACCACTTACGAACATCATGGTGGGGTCTTGTTATCTCCTCGTATCTCCACAGGGCCAATTAATTAAATATGTCAGTTGCAAATGATCCAAATTTTAAAAAGCTGAAAAGAATGAGTACTATATAAATATCCACCTACCTCATGTGTAAGCACGTCTGGCACCAGGACGCCCCTGATGTTGGTCCGGCTGACTACGCTTGGATCCTGCAGCTTGTCGTGGAGTCGGATCACCACCAACTGGGACGTATCCTGCACCAGGCTCTGCACAACACCATGGCAACACAATTTAATGCACTCAACTTCAAAACCAGTATTCGCCTCATAAGTTGTTTAACTACCATGGAATCTCTACAGGTGAAGCACAATGCAACGGAGCCACAAGCTAGTAATGTTTCTAGGACAAGACAATGGTGCCACTAGCTAGTAATGTTTCTAGGACAAGACAATGGTGCCACGAGCTAGTAATGTTTCTAGGACAAGACAATGGTGCCACTAGCAGGTAATGTTTCTAGGACAAGACAATGGTGCCACTAGCTGGTAATGTTTCTAGGACAAGATAATGGTGCCACAAGCTAGTAATGTTTCTAGGACAAGACAATAGTGCCACTAGCAGGTAATGTTTCTAGGACAAGATAATGGTGCCACAAGCTAGTAATGTTTCTAGGACAAGACAATGGTGCCACGAGCTGGTAATGTTTCTAGGACAAGACAATAGTGCCACTAGCAGGTAATGTTTCTAGGACAAGATAATGGTGCCACAAGCTAGTAATGTTTCTAGGACAAGACAATTGTGCCACTAGCTGGTAATGTTTCTAGGACAAGACAATGGTGCCACTAGCAGGTAATGTTTCTAGGACAAGATAATGGTGCCACAAGCTAGTAATGTTTCTAGGACAAGACAATGGTGCCACTAGCTAGTAATGTTTCTAGGACAAGACAATTGTGCCATTAGCAGGTAATGTTTCTAGGACAAGACAATGGTGCCACTAGCAGGTAATGTTTCTAGGACAAGACAATGGTGCCACTAGCTGGTGATGTTTCTAGGACAAGACAATGGTGCCAGTAGCTGGTAATGTTTCTAGGACAAGACAATGGTGCCACTAGCAGGTAATGTTTCTAGGACAAGTCAATGGTGCCAGTAGATGGTAATGTTTCTAGGACAAGACAATGGTGCCACTAATGTTTCTATGATGAACCAGTTAGAGCTGATCCTACCTGTGGATTTCTCTCCAGGTGCATAAGGCTATCCTTGACCGACACCTCTCTCCCTCTTGAGGTGATGACATCGTCAGATCCGTTCATGGCACGGTCCTTGCTAGAGCTCACCACATCTGAAATTGACGTTCACAGTGACCTCCATTGTTCTTTAAATTCTTTTGTGTCTTATATGTCACATGATCTGAGTCTGGAAGAGACAAACCAGTGGATGACGGCATGAACAACATTCCACAGCAGTGATAACCACGTCACATTATGGTCCTGTCTAAGTCAACTTTTACTACAAGCAAAATGACACATTCTGCTGAAAATATCTAAAATATCTGATCTAAAATACTGTATTTCCTCTAATAAGCGCTCCTGCTTATTCTTTGCACCAAACCCCACGGATAATAAAGGCCTGACAGTAACTAGAGACCTGGCGTATAACATAAAAGATCAGAGGTGCTAAAACGGGATCCTTAATACTAAGCTTTCCTTTATTCCAGGGCGAAATCTAACACACCCAATGCTTATTAGAGACCCAGTGGTTATTGTGGCTCTATTATAGGAAATACGGTAATTTATATCTGCACAACAATGGTGTGGTGTTAAATACCTGGCACAACAAACATATCTCGTTGTTTGCAGAGGGACTCCAAGGGCAACTCGGTCGCACACACAAGGGAATCATGGGACAGCGTCACGATGGAGGTGATGTTGCCGTCCAGGCTGCAACATAACAACAAACATCCTCACTGTCGTGACTAGCATCCTCACTGTCGTGACTAGCATCCTCACTGTCGTGACTAGCATGAGCAAGGCAACACACACGTGGAACAATGACTCCACACAAGCATTGCTGTGATTAAGGCAGACACTGTTTGTGTGATATTTGTTTGTTGTTGACTACACACTCGGCAATATTCCAGCTATATGACAACGGCCTGTAAACAATCAAATCTGGACCAGACAAACCAGTGATCGATATTATGAGCACCACCCCTCACTATGGTTTAAATGATTGTTGGGGTACCCAAGTCACAGAGTCTGACCTCCCGATGTATTTAGTCGCTGCAGACCTTTCCTAGCCCAGAATCCTAACAGGGAAAACAGGACAATGTTGACCGACTATGAAATGACATCACAATATTGATGACACGAAACCCAAGTACCTATTAAGACAACATTGTTATTAATTTTACTTATGACCTGTACTTTACTTAATGTCCAGTTTTACAAACAAGGTATTGATGACATTTCCAACATACAAACACAACTCCTGTTCTTCACTAAAACTAATAATCAAGTGTGGGTGACAAATAGGTTATTACAGTGGTGTTTATTGTGTTTTATTGTATGATAAACAACTCCCACTCATTTATTTCTCAAATACACAGATGCCAACTTGATCTCAACAATAACATATATGACCTTTTATTCCCCCTTCAGGTGCTGGAGTCAGTAAGTGCTACACTGTTGCAGCTTTCCACAACAAAATACAGGACCTTCTTGAAGCTACTTGAAACTACAGGGGACTACATGAGCACTTCTCCCTAAGGCTTCCTGGCCTACACACACACCAGTCTATTGTGTGCAAACAGTAAGGATGGTCTGTGGATGTAGGTCAACCCGATGAATGGATGCTGACTGAAACATAACGTTTTATGTGGGATGTTGTACAGCTTGCACAGCAACACTCAATCCATAGGGGGATTATATACTACTGACTGGGAGAACCACATCTGGACGCCATGTGTCACTGTCACCTAGTCTACATATAGATTTCTGGACTTATAGTGTACAGTATATATTATGTGTGTACTCCAGACCCTAACAAAGCTTCACACCAACAGTAACATGTCCATCTGAAACAACATTTTCATTAGATTTTTTAAAATCTTTCAAAGACGTTTTTTTTCCAGTGGTCTTCATTACACAAGCATCCTCTGATGTGAGTCATTCAAGGGAGCACTAAGATTATGATTGTTATAACACATACTGGCTGAGCACAAGACTGAAATACGTTTCATAATTAAAATGCTTTCTATAAACCTTGCTTTCATGACAGAAAACACACCTGTGGTCCATAATAACACTGACACACACATCAACTTGATCAAGACAACAGAGGCAGACCACATTTAATACAACTTGAACTGTGAGAACCACCCTAATGTACTGAGGACACAGTGAATCGCCACCCTGGTTCCTGATGCCTTACCCCGGGACCTTCCAGGCTGCAGGGGTGAAGTCCGACATGGACGTCTCGATGTCTGGCCACATGTACACCTGGAACACGGATACATCATATACAAACTAGTTCTACACAAAGATGAATATCAAACATAAAAACAGGCAAACAGGTGGTTGATAGCATGAGCAATGGTTGCTGCAATCGGGTAGGATTTCACACAATCACCCAGTCCTCCAGCAGAGGAGGAGACTTATTCTGCCCTTGAATACCTAAAGGGGAACAAACACTGGGTGCTGGGGACCTATTCTGCCCACGACCCCATGTTGTGTACTTCAGTATAAGATCAATCTCATTACAATCACATCTTTACTCTGAGGTCCTGTCGGGTGACCTTTCTAATCAATGTCAAGGTTTCTTGGTATGCGTGAGCACAGTGAGTGTGTGAGTGAGTGAGTATGGTTTTATGCCGCTTTTATCAATATTCCAGCAATATCATGGCGGGGGACACCAGAAATGGGCTTCACACATTGTATCAATGTGGGGAATAGAACCCGCGTCTTGACGAGCCAATTCTTTAACCACTAGGCTACCCCACAGCCCGAGTGAGTACAGCCTTCAGACATAGCTGTTCTGCAACTCCATAACGAACCCAATTCTGGACTTCCAAATGCACAACAATCAAGGCAGCACTATGATACTGTTGTGGATATATCATATATCCTGTTACATGTCATGCCTCTACATCTACAGCCATGGCATATATCACAGGTATACTGGGGTTCTGTCTCCACATCTACAGCCGTGGCATATATCACAGGTATACTGGGGTTCTGCCTCCACATCTACAGCCGTGGCATATATCACAAGTATACTGGGGTTCTGCCTCCACATCTACAGCCATGGCATATATCACAGGTATACTGGGGTTCTGTCTCTACATCTACAGCCATGGCATATATCATGGGTATACTGGGGTTCTGTCTCCACATCTACAGCCATGGCATATATCACAGGTATACTGGGGTTCTGTCTCCACATCTACAGCCATGGCATATATCACAGGTATACTGGGGTTCTGTCTCCACATCTACAGCCGTGGCATATATCATGGGTATACTGGGGTTCTGCCTCTACATCTACAGCCATGGCATATATCACAGGTATACTGGGGTTCTGCCTCTACATCTACAGCCATGGCATATATCACGGGTATACTGGGGTTCTGCCTCCACATCTACAGCCATGGCATATATCACAGGTATACTGGGGTTCTGCCTCTACATCTACAGCCATGGCATATATCACGGGTATACTGGGGTTCTGCCTCCACATCTACAGCCATGGCATATATCACAGGTATACTGGGGTTCTGCCTCCACATCTACAGCCGTGGCATATATCACGGGTATACTGGGGTTCTGCCTCCACATCTACAGCCATGGCATATATCACGGGTATACTGGGGTTCTGCCTCTACATCTACAGCCATGGCATATATCATGGGTATACTGGGGTTCTGCCTCTACATCTACAGCCATGGCATATATCACGGGTATACTGGGGTTCTGCCTCCACATCTACAGCCATGGCATATATCACAGGTATACTGGGGTTCTGCCTCTACATCTACAGCCGTGGCATATATCATGGGTATACTAGGGTTCTGCCTCCACATCTACAGCCATGGCATATATCACAGGTATACTGGGGTTCTGCCTCCACATCTACAGCCATGGCATATATCCTGGGTATACTTGGGTTCTGCCTCCACATCTACAGCCATGGCATATATCCTGGGTATACTAGGGTTCTGCCTCCACATCTACAGCCATGGCATATATCACGGGTATACTGGGGTTCTGTCAGTGTTTTCTTTGGCTAAGGTCAAATTCCCAAAATTGAGCTGGTAAAGGAATGAAGCTGAACCATTTTCATTTTCAACGCCAAAAATCATAGGTCACGCCCACCAATGGACAGCTGTTTGCTGATTGGCTGACAATAGGATGAGTGAGGCTTGTGTTACTGTGATTTCACTGGTTTCGTACTATTGTCCACAGGTTTTGTGTTGATCAAATGAACAGTCTGAGAAGCTATTATTGTTGACATATTTATTTATAAGAACTGACTTATGGCGTTTCTGTTTGTTTGTTGTTTAACGCCGCACTCAGCAATATTTCAGCAATATGACGTTGGTCAGTAAATAATCAAGTCTTGACCAGACAATCCAGTGATTGATATCATGAGCATCGATCTACACAATTGAGATACAACAAGTATTTGTCACAGAGTGACGAAATATCCCCCGCCTGTACACCATAGTACCAAATATGAAGACAATCCAGCGATTAGTTACCAAATCTGACAGGTGTATGCGGTGTCTGTATATACACTATAGTTCCAAATATGAAGACAATCCAGTGTTTAGTTCTTGAGATATCGTGGCAACACCGTTTTCTAACTCCAAAAGCAGATTTGCCTGCTGTGACCTTGACAATGGGGTCAAGGTCACCAAAACCGACTGGTGTCTGCGGTGTCTGTATATACACCATAGTTCCAAATATGAAGACAATCCAGTGTTTAGTTCTTGAGATATCGCGGCAACACCGTTTTCCAACTCCAAAAGCAGATTTGCCTGCTGTGACCTTGAAAATGGGATCAAGGTCACCAAAACCGACTGGTGTCTGCGGAGTCTGTATATACACCATAGTTCCAAATATGAAGACAATCCAGTGTTTAGTTCTTGAGATATCGCGGCAACACCATTTTCCAACTCTAAAAGCAGATTTGTCTGCTGTGACCTTGAAAATGGGATCAAGGTCACCAAAACCGACTGGTGTCTGCGGAGTCTGTATATACACCATAGTTCCAAATATGAAGACAATCCAGTGTTTAGTTCTTGAGATATCGCGGCAACACCGTTTTCCAACTCTAAAAGCAGATTTGTCTGCTGTGACCTTGAAAATGGGATCAAGGTCACCAAAACCGACTGGTGTCTGCGGAGTCTGTATATACACCATAGTTCCAAATATGAAGACAATCCAGTGTTTAGTTCTTGAGATATCGCGGCAACACCGTTTTCCAACTCTAAAAGCAGATTTGTCTGCTGTGACCTTGAAAATGGGATCAAGGTCACCAAAACCGACTGGTGTCTGCGGAGTCTGTATATACACCATAGTTCCAAATATGAAGACAATCCAGTGTTTAGTTCTTGAGATATCGCGGCAACACCGTTTTCCAACTCCAAAAGCAGATATGCCTGCTGTGACCTTGAAAATGGGGTCAAGGTCACCAAAACCGACTGGTGTCTGCGGAGTCTGTATATACACCATAGTTCCAAATATGAAGACAATCCAGTGTTTAGTTCTTGAGATATCGCGGCAACAAACAGGTGGGACGGACGGACGTACGGACGGTCGTGAATACTATATCCCCCGCTTCGCGCTTTCGCGCGGCGGGGGATAATGACATGCATCAACCAAGTCAGCGAGCCTGACCACCAGATCCCACTAGTCGCCTCTTACGACAAGCATAGTCACCTGTTAGAGCAAACATGGGTTGCTGAAGACCTATTCTAACCCGGATCTTCACAGGTCTATGGCGTTGCTGTAGTTTTTTACACTTTCACCTGCACAAACACAAAAAAACATTAAATAGACAAGTGGAGGACTCACCAGCACCACAGCGCCCACACACAGCACCAGCCTCTGTCCATCTTCCGACCACGTTCCGCAGGTGATCTTACCACTGAAACACAGACAGAGAGCCCACTATATCAGCTGCTTCACAGAACAGTGATTTTGACACAAAAAGCTGTATACAGGTCAATGACTTGGACCCAAGAAATGTAATAAGTCAGCGGTAAAAGTCACTTAAACAAAGATGCCAGATGCAGTAAAATTTCGAAGTTACATCAGTACTTTTAAAAAATTGGGCATAGCTTCCACACACCTGGCTACCCACCAGGTCTGGAAGCAATACTGCCATCAACTTCAACCCCCATCCCCCAGACACAAGGACAACTGTCACAAGCGTGCAATGTCTGACCTTTCCCCATGTTGAAACATATTGAAAAAAACATTACCTTGTACTTACGTACCTTTTGTTGAAAAAAACAAAACAACATTGCAAACATAAAACATTATTACAGCATATATCCCGGGTTATGGGTTTTCGCTGATCACATGAACAACTGTAAAACTTCTCATTCACTTATTCATGAAAGACAACTTTATCTTAGAATCAAGCCATCATCTGAGTATTTACAATTTATGTGTGACACCTCTTGTTATAGTGCAAGTATTCGTGATAGAAAACGTATGATGTCCGAAAACCTATGATCCGACGATAATACTCAATAGTATTGTGTCATGAATAATAATAATAAAAGCTCTGATCGAAAACAGGACAATCCGCGACGGCTATCCGGAAACACGATATTTTCGGAGTATTTTTTAAAATGTTTGATTATATTTTTACGAGGAAGATGACTCTTTCAGAGAACCGATGTTTTTAAAAACACGATTTTCAGCGTTTTTGCGGAGATTTCACATTGCTAGATCTAATTATTTACGTATTGAACAAATTGACCAGTCACCGTAGGGACTGCGCTACATGTATTTCGATTGCGAAAATATAATGTTGACATTTAATAGTCAAATTGCCTCAAATATGACTTCAAATGAGTAAAGGTATGGCATTTATGATATGTGCATCCATTCCCTTGCAACTAAAGTTTGTTTCAAGGCATCAATAGCGGTAATCTGACCGAGGTTGCTGTAAATAACGGTGAGTTGTGCGATCTACCGATCACTTCCCATACGATTTCGCTGAAATTATTATGATTATTATATTATATCATATTATTATGAAGTCCAGATAAACAATGAACACCTTTTTATAACCAGATATTATAATAATAGGATTAAATTGCGTACTTCAGTTCAGATTAGTTGACTGGTATTTCAAGTGTTACGTGATCGCGGTGATCAGCTGATAATGTTTTTAGAGATGGGGGAAAACATCGTGTCATTGGAAAACTTAAGTTTATTAAAAATGTAAGTAAATTTTGGGAGCCATGCTTCAACGCCCGCTATAACCGAATTAGCACTATTATTGAAGGGCGCATTAGCGAGAGAACACCCACTGTATATGATGCTGAAAGCTCTGATCGAAAACAGGACAATATGTGTACTGTACATCCTCTTGATTGGCACTAAATTTTATGAGAGCATTAAAATCGATGGCTCCAAATCGATACCTTAAGTGGAATAATCCTTACTATTTACTATTTAATCATGAAATTATGACACATGTGACACCTTGCTTAGCATTTCTATCGGTCAAAAGTATGACAATTTAAATAAACCATTGGTCAAATAGAAAGTTTATCAGTCTATGACCGGTGACTGACGGCCATCTGAAACCCTGCAGAACAACCATCCCTGGCCATTGTACAAGCTCCCAGGAATCACACTGTGACATGGATCAACAAGTTATTTACAACTGATTTGTGATTAGAAATTTGGCTAAATTACAAAGCAATTCCATATAATTGAAAATAAACATCCACAGTAGTGACAGGTCTCTATCTATAATGCAGAAATTCTGTCATCTATTCCATCTAGAAAACTTAAAAGGAATTTAATTGAGGAAATTAAATAATATTCTCCAACTTATCAGATCATGCTATTTCTGTTTGAATAACTGATGCATTAGTCAGACTACAAAAATTTATTACCATGATGACCTTGAATATTAAAAGGTCCAGATAAATATTTACTTAATCACCATGCTATGCAGGAAATTGGATCTGAAATGAATTCTAAATGTTCCTGTTATCCTACAAATCATTTCATTATGAGATTTAATTGATGAAAGCTGTCAGAGGATCAGACTTAATCACACGGTCATCCAGGTGCAGGGGGAGGAAATGAAACTATTGGCGGCCATGCTGGTTCATGCACGGGTTCACACGCGCTGCCGAGTGCAGTGGTGCAGTGGTGCAGCTGAACGTTGGACTTTACGCCATTTTGAGCATCGTTTTAGCAACATCATGGCAGGTGACACCAGAAGTGGGCTTCACAGATAGCACCCATGTAGGGAAGTGAACACAGGCATTTGATGTGACGAGCAAATGCTTTACCCACTAGGCTACCTCACCAACACACAACGCGTGATTCATGAAACAACAATCATTATTTGGCCACTATTACCAACACACTATAATTCAGACATGATACAATCTATTGTTAACTGAATTAAATATGGACAAGAGCAAAGCTGATGAGGGTCACTTCAAGATTGTGTTGTGTACTTCATGGGAGGGGTGAGATTGAATGGGAGGGTCAGATTGAGGAGAGGTCAGATGGATGGGAGGGGTCAGTTGGAGGGGGGTCAGATGGATGGGAGGGGTCAGATGGATGGGAGGGGTCAGATTGAGGGGAGGGGTCAGATTGAGGGGAGGGGTCAGTTGGAGGGGGGTCAGATGGATGGGAGGGGTCAGATTGAGGGGAGGGGTCAGATTGAGGGGAGGGGTCAGTTGGAGGGGGGTCAGATGGATGGGAGGGGTCAGATTGAGGGGAGGGGTCAGATTGAGGGGAGGGGTCAGTTGGAGGGGGGTCAGATGGATGGGAGGGGTCAGATTGAGGGGAGGGGTCAGATCGTGGCTAATGAACTAACCTTTCGAGCTGAGGGAAGGCGTAGCTGCTCTTGTTGTGAGTATGTCGGAAGTAGAAGCTGCACTGTTGTTGACTCAGCAGACACAAGATGTCCTCCTTCTTGGGGTGCCACAGACAGCCTGCCACAACACACAGAACACATGTGACGGTCTAAGTAAATGTTATGTGGCATTCTAAGTAACAGTCACATGATGGTCTAAGTAACAGTCATATGCCGGTCGAAGTAACACAGTTATGTGATGGTCTAAGTAACAGTCACTTGATGGTCTAAGTAACAGTCATGTGAAAGTCTAAGTAACACAGACATGTCATGGTCTAAGTAACAGTCACGTGATGGTCTAAGTAACAGTCACATGATGGTCTAGGTAATAGTCACATGATGGTCTAAGTAACAGCCACATGATGGTCTAAGTATCAGCAATGTGATGGTCTAAGTATCAGCAATGTGATGGTCTAAGTTACAGTCACATGATGGTCTAAGTAAAACAGCTATGTGATGTTCTAAGTAACAGTGATGTGACGTTCTAAGTAACAGTCACATGATGGTCTAAGTAACAGTCATGTGACGGTCGAAGTAACAGTCATGTGGTGGTCGAAGTAACAGTCATGTGGTGGTCTAAGTGCAATGTTATGGTCTAAGTTAAAGTCACATGATGGCATAATTAATAGTCATGTGATGGTCTAAGTATCAGCAATGTGATGGTCTAAGTAACACAGTGATGTGACATTCTAAGTAACACAGTTATGTGATGGTCTAAGTAACAGTCACATCATGGTCTAAGTAACAGTCACATGATGGTATAATTAATAGTCATGTGATGGTCTAATTTACAGTCATGTGATGGTCTAAGTATCAGCTATGTTATGGTCTAAGTAACACAGTTATGTGATGGTCTAAGTAACAAAGTAACAGTCACGTGATGGTCTAAGTAACGCAGTCATGTGATGGTCTATGTAACAGTCATGTGATGGTCTAAGTAACAGCCACATGATGGTCTAAGTAACAGTCACATGATGGTCTAAGTAACAGTCACATGGTGGTCTAAGTAACAGCCACATGATGGTCTAAGTAACAGTCACATGGTGGTCTAAGTAACAGCCACATGATGGTCTAAGTAACAGTCACTTGATGGTCTAAGTAACAGTCACATGATGGTCTAAGTAACAGTCACATGATGGTCTAAGTAACAGTCACATGATGGTCTAAGTAACAGCCATGTGATGGTCTAAGTAAGTCACATGATGGTCTAAGTAACAGTCACATGGTGGTCTAAGTAACAGCCACATGATGGTCTAAGTAACAGCCACATGATGGTCTAGGTAACAGTCACTTGATGGTCTAAGTAACAGTCACATGATGGTCTAAGTAACAGTCACATGATGGTCTAAGTAACAGTCACATGATGGTCTAAGTAACAGCCATGTGATGGTCTAAGTAAGTCACATGATGGTCTAAGGAACAGCTATGTGATGGTCTAATCAATAGTCTTGTGATGGTCTAAGTAACACAGAGATGTGACGTTCTAAGTAACAGTCACATGATGGACTAAGTAACAGTCATGTGACAGTCTAAGGAACAGTCATGTATTGGTCTAAGTAACACAGTTATGTGATGGTCTAAGTTACACAGTGATATGACGGTCTAAGTTACAGTCACATGATGGTCTAAGTAACAGTCACTTGATGGTCTAAGGAACAGTCTTATGATGGTCTAAGTAACAGCTATGTGATGGTCTAAGTAACAGTCATGTTGGTTTAAGTAACAGTCATGTGACGGTCTAAGTTAAATAGTTATGATACGGTCTAAGTAACAGTTACGTGATGGTCTAAGTAACAGTCACATGATGGTCTAAGTAACAGTTATGTGATGGTCTAAGTAACAATCAGTCGATGGTCTAAGTATGTGACAGTCCAGGTAATGGTCACGGTCTAAGTAACGGCTATGTGATGGTCTAAGGAACAGTCATGTGATGTGATGGTCTTAGTTATAGTCACATGATGGTCTAAGTAACAGTTGTGATGGTCTAAGTAACAGTAATGTGATGGTCTAAGTAACAGTCATGTGATGGTCTAAGTAACAGTCATGTGATGGTCTAAGTAAAACAGTTATGATACGGTCTAAGTAACAGTTTTGTGATGGTCTAAGTAACAGTTTTTTGATGGTCTAAGTAACAATCTAGTGATGGTCTAAGTAACAATCATTCAATGGTCTTAGTTTCACAGTTATGTGACGGTCCAAGTAATGGTCATGTCATGTGATGGTCTAAGTAACAGCTATGTGATGGTCTAAGAAACAGTCATGTGATGTGATGGTCTAAGTTATAGTCACATGATGGTCTAAGTAACAGTTGTGATGGTCTAAGGAACAGTAATGTGATGGTCTAAGTAGCACAATGTCGTGACGCTCATAGGTACAGACACATGATGGTCTAAGTAACAGTCATGTGACGGTCTAAGTAACACAGTTATGTGGCGTTCTAAGTAACAGTCACATGATGGTCTAAGTAAGTCATGTGACAGTCTAAGTGAGAGTCATGTGAAGGTCTAAGTGACAGTCTAAGTGAGAGTCATGTGACGGTCTAAGTGAGTCATGTGACGGTCTAAGTGACAGTCATGTGATGGTCTAAGTGATGTCATGTGATGGTCTAAGTGACAGTCATGTGAAGGTCTAGGTGACAGTCTAAGTGACAGTCATGTGATGGTCTAAGTGACAGTCATGTGACGGTCTAAGTGACAGTCATGTGATGGTCTAAGTGACAGTCATGTGATGGTCTAAGTGACAGTCATGTGACGGTCTAAGTGACAGTCATGTGACGGTCTAAGTGACAGTCATGTGATGGTCTAAGTGACAGTCATGTTAAGGTCTAAGTGACGGTCTAAGTGACAGTCATGTGACGGTCTTAGTGACAGTCCTGGACGGTCTAAGTAACACATTCATGTGATGGTCTACGTAACACAGCCATATCAGGGTATAGCCCTGTTGGGATTCTAGGTTAGAATTGGTCACATGCGTGTTGAAAATGCATTTGGTGGTCCAACTCTGTTGACTGTATGTCACCGTAACCCAACGTCGCAAATAACATCAATCACAGGTTTGTCTGGACTCTACAATCTATGATCAAATGAGTGGAATGTTGCAATGACAACAAGAAACAAACAAACAAATCTCGGTGTAAGCATCACAGTCTTGCCCCAGTGTTGGCATCTGAGTCTGGACCAGACAAACCACTGATGACAGCATGAGCAAAGTTTCATGCCACAAGAGCCCAACTTACCGAGGCAAAGGAGTTAACTGACTATAAAAGTCCAGTTTCCACCCTTGCTGAACTAGGCTGGAATTTCTGAGTCATATTTTGGCTGGACTAACGAGTTTATGCATAGTCAAATCAAAATTTGTGTAAACAACACAGTGACTGACGTGCAGATTTCTGTTGGTTGCAAGATGGCAAAGCATGTGTACCGTCAACTGGGCGTCAAGAGATATTTTCCAAATTTTTTCATGTTTTAATCAACATGCTCAAGTGATCTGATGAACTTCAGGAGGTTAGACCTGTTGTATTACAACATAGATCTTGATTATCGGTCAGATCAACTTGACTGGGCGCCGCCATTTTGTTTGGAGCAAATGCAAGTGATATGAGATGTGGAATCTGATTGGTCAGTAGGAGGGACATAGAAGGGAAGTAACTCATAATAGCCACTGGTGGCGCTACAATTGAGACACAAAATTAGCCTAGTTTGGCACGGGTGGAATCCAAACTTTTACAGTCTGTTAACTTCATTCCTTCAGGAAAATGTCAGAGCATGGAACACACTGAGTCCTGGGTATTCTACCACAGAGTCCTACAGATATCCATTGTAAGCATAAGGTTGACTATATACAGTAACCAAATCGGGACGTCATAGTCTTAATTGTAGGCAGTGGTGAAGCCTTATTTGTTGTCAGTTCTAAATGAACTACCAAGTCTTAATAATCTTCAACAATCCCTAGACAAACTTACCTTGGGGAATGGGTTGCACATTAAGTTTGCGGACTTGCTTGAATCCTAGTTTTGGAGCCAACCCTGTGACTTTCCACACGGTGACATTCTGCCGGTGGATGGCACACAGGAAGCAGGTGTCGCCGTCCACGTCCCCGCTCCAGTGAAGGCTCCGCACGTTGCTGCAAACACACAAAAATAGTGACATGAAAAATTGGGACACTGATAAGGTGGTATACGTGCTACAAGACAGGTGTGATGAAAACGCTGAGAATCGACATCTTCATTTCATAAATAATCAGGTCTGGGGATGGCTGGCCCACCAAGGAGAGGCAGCATCAGTAACGATCTTAGTCTTTACGACATTAGTTGAGTCATCCTACATTGTGGCCATCCAATCCTCACTTTAGTTGGCTGAGATTCGAGTGTGTAGCCACATCAGTCATTCTTTCCTCATAAATGACATTCGATCAACACATTCAACACTATCTACGTTTACCCCATGTTGGTCTATAAATACAAGAACAGTTGGGCAAGTGACTTTTTTCGAAATGTGCCTCTGTTCATACAGCAGTGAATGGGTACCCGGTAGGATGAGATGGCAACGTGGTGGTAACCTTCTAATGCCTAACAGGCAGCTTGGGTTGTATACTCCCCAGGGAGCTGCAAATTATTGTTGAGTGCATGGAGAACAGGGAACATAAATCGTCTACCGTATTCGATGTAATAAACGCCCAGGGCACTCTCAAAATTAGAAATAGGGGGCTCTTATTAGAATATAATTTTGGTGAGATAAAAAACAGAGTTGAAAGACTGTAAACGTTGTGGTTTATGCTGACAGCCTGAAATGATATAAAAGAAGAATCTGTGCATATTATACACGTCAGATATATTTTCGAGAAATTAATTGCCCATAATTAAGGGTGCATATAACACATGAGTGTGTATTATACACGAATAAATAAGTCTTGTGTACATTGATCAATTGGAAGGGGTGCTAATTGGGATTGTTCACTAGCCAATATATTAGCAAATATCGCCGTGCGCGCTTATTAGAGCGGGGCGCTTATTACGTTGAATACAGTATTATTATTCATTATTATAACTGATTAACAATTTCAGTTGACGGTGTGAGGTAGCCAAACAGACAGGGTGTTGACTTGTCACACAACTACTCCTGGTTTGATTCCTGTCACTGGCACACTGAGTCCCCCATCTGTCGTCAGATTATCTTCCCTGACCCAATACAACACAATACTTGTGTGTAGATACAGCCATGTCCTGATCACAGTGTGAGCCTGATCACAGTGTGAGCCTGACCCAATACAACACAATACTTGTGTGTAGATACAGCCATGTCCTGATCACAGTGTGAGCCTGACCCAATACAACACAATACTTGTGTGTAGATACAGCCATGTCCTGATCACAGTGTGAGCCTGACCCAATACAACACAATACGTGTGTAGATACAGCCATGTCCTGATCACAGTGTGAGCCTGACCCAATACAACACAATACTTGTGTGTAGATACAGCCATGTCCTGATCACAGTGTGAGCCTGACCCAATACAACACAATACGTGTGTAGATACAGCCATGTCCTGATCACAGTGTGAGCCTGACCCAATACAACACAATACTTGTGTGTAGATACAGCCATGTCCTGATCACAGTGTGAGCCTGACCCAATACAACACAATACTTGTGTGTAGATACAGCCATGTCCTGATCACAGTGTGAGCCTGACCCAATACAACACAATACGTGTGTAGATACAGCTATGTCCTGATCACAGTGTGAGCCTGACCCAATACAACACAATACTTGTAGAAACAGCCATGTCCTGATCACAGTGTGAGCCTGACCCAATACAACACAATACTTGTAGAAACAGCCATGTCCTGATCACAGTGTTAGCCTGACCCAATACAACACAATACGTGTGTAGATACAGCCATGTCCTGATCACAGTGTGAGCCTGACCCAATACAACACAATACGTGTGTAGATACAGCTATGTCCTGATCACAGTGTGAGCCTGACCCAATACAACACAATACTTGTAGAAACAGCCATGTCCTGATCACAGTGTGAGCCTGACCCAATACAACACAATACTTGTAGAAACAGCCATGTCCTGATCACAGTGTGAGCCTGACCCAATACAACACAATACTTGTAGAAACAGCCATGTCCTGATCACAGTGTGAGCCTGACCCAATACAACACAATACTTGTAGAAACAGCCATGTCCTGATCACACAGTGTGAGCAGTAAACACAGGACAACGCCTGTAACACGATACTACCAGGAACACAACTGGTGCCATATGCTGCCGTAATTAAACCCTCACAGTGTACTGACAAATCAAGGTCTGTTTCTTCATGGTCTTTGACTGATAACTGGCAGCAATTATCAGTGTACATGAAGAATTACCCCCACAAACTAACACGCGATTGGGTTTGTATCGTCATTCGTTGTTTAACAAAACACGACTATTGTCGACAAATTATAAAGTCTGGACCAGACAATATAGTGGCCCAGTGAGCATCAATCCATGCAATTGGGACACGATGACACACAATCAACCAGGTTCTCAAGCCTGACCACACAAACCATTTAGTCGTCTCTTATGTATTCTTACCCAGCATCCCCATGGGTTGGGGTTGGGGTCGGGGTTGGGGTCGGGGTTGGGAGTTCAGGTTCTGTGACTAAGCTGACATTGTGTCATTGTACCTGGTCATTATGGATCATTGCTTATGCTATCAATCACTGGTTTACCTGCTCCAACTAATTACAAGCAGATACAGTGTTTCCCTTCTCCGGTATATACTGGATATTGACCTGTTAAATATGTCACGGATGGGTAAACTTTAGGTCTGACGGTCCCTGTGTCCGCCAGAAATTTCCACTGAAAAATGCACATCATATCCTGTGTATCGCTGCAAACATTAAATCACTTAAAAAACTGGCGTTTCAATTTTCGGCAACATTCTGGCATTAAAATTCAAAAAGTATATGAACCATTAAACCTATTCACAAAATATGAATGATTTTCAAATTATAATGTGCACATTACTTTACTCTTCCTTTACATCATGACACAGGCACCAAAATTCTGAATGGCGACGGAATATTCTGACAGACGGATTAACTAAACGATGAGTTGATTTGTCATGGTATCCAAATGTTTCTAATCAATTAAATTTACATCACATGCTCAAATGATGACAGTTTATGAAGGACATTGTCAGGAACAAAGAAAACCTGGACTCAACCAGCAGCTTAACTGAGGCGGACTCGACTGTACTTCTAACTGGTAATAAAAACCCAGACACAAGACTACCTACAAGAACGCTGTGTTACCACAAAATCCCCATCTCAAGGTTTTCTTCAGTGGTCAACGTGACCTGTAATCTTCTTTGTCAAAACCGGGGAGTCTCAACAAAAGTAAGAAGCGTGCCAAGCACTACATCAGGTAACTTTGCAAACATTAATATGATTTAAAAAAGGTCCCTTTGACCTATTTGACATGCCCATAGAAAACAACTGATAGTCCGACAGACAGACAGACAGACAGACAGACAGACAGACAGACAGACAGACAGACAGACAGACCGACCGACCGACAGACAGACAGATAGGCAGACAGACAGACAGACAGGCGGACAGATAGGCAGACAGACAGACAGACAGATAGGCAGACAGACAGACAGGTAGACAGACAGACAGACAGATAAGCAGGCAGACAGACAGACAGATAGGCAGACAGACAGACAGACAGGCGGACAGATAGGCAGACAGACAGACAGACAGACAGATAGGCAGACAGACAGACAGACAGACAGACAGACAGATAAGCAGGCAGACAGACAGACAGATAGGCAGACAGACAGATAGGCAGACAGACAGACAGATAGGCAGACAGACAGACAGATAGGCAGACAGACAGACAGATAGACAGATAGGCAGACAGACCAAATTGTGTTCTTCAGACCTCAGGCTCATAACACAAACAAGATGGAAAAAATAAATAAATTTACATGCTGAATAAACGGCGGGAGAACAACACACTAGATGTTATAGGGATAAATGTTTTACTTGTAATCTTTAGTACGTGACAATTAAATCAAACGTTAATAATATGGATATTGTTTGTTGACATCAGTCTTGCAAAGAAAACAGTTGAGATTGTGTACATCAAGCATTGATCAGGCTGAAGTGCTGACAGCTGAACACTTCCCAGCACACACACGGGGATGCACATAGGCAAGGACAGTATAAGACGGACACCTGGTGCTAATCTCAACATTTCAAATCCTGACATGGAGATGATCAAACACAAATACTGATGGATACATATTTCCATGTCTGAAACTACGCCTATTTTCCTGTCTGACGAGGAGGTCAGTGAAACTTTGTTCTTGCCTGTCGGTTGGCTAACAGGTTGTATTTTCCAACCATCACGTTATGATTGATTTTTGATACATGATATGTCGGATATAAATTTCACAAAATGTTACAACTGCCTCACACAACACAGTGAACAAATACTGCAAGCCGGCGGCAATCACTTGGTGGCTGTCGAAGCAGTGCAACAGGTGTAGAGAGGCTGGCCCAGTCAGACTGATTGCTTAGACTGTACCTAGTCTCCTGACTGCATCAGCTCCTGAGTATAACATATAGACTCTACCCAGTCTCCTGACTGCAGCATCAGCTATTGAGCATAACACATGTATAACATATAGACTGTACCTAGTGTATAGCATCAGCTCCTGAGTAAAAGAGATATAGACTGCATCCAGTCTCACAACTGAACCACCAGCTACTGGATACAACAGATATAGACTGTATCCAGTCTCTTGACTGAAGCATCAGCTATTGAGTATAACAAATAAACTGGACCCAGACTCCTAATGGAGCCATCAGCTATAGAGTATAACTCTAACAAGTATTTGTCACAGAGTGACGAAATATCCCCCGCCTGTATATACACCATAGTACCAAATATGAAGACAATCCAGCGATTAGTTCTTGAGATATTGTGGCAACACCGTTTTCCAACTCCAAAAACAGATTTGCCTGCTGTGACCTTGAAAATGGGGTCAAGGTCACCAAATCTGACAGGTGTATGCGGTGTCTGTATATACACTATAGTTCCAAATATGAAGACAATCCA